GACAGCGAGTGAAGACCGCCGCAGCAGCAGGGGCCAGGATTCGCCTCCCCCTCGGCGCCCGTGGGATCGCACCATGCCCGGGGTGCCTCGTTCGGACCCCTCCGCTTCCTTCACGGAGTCGGCAACCCCGTGTGAGTCCGGTTAATTGCCTTCGACGACCCTCGTCGCTGCCACGCGCCCTCCCGCACTTCTGCCCACATCAGCCTTGTCTTTTCTGGCCGTTCCCTTTCTCCGCTGTCACTCCTCTTTCCGCCTAAGTGACCTATTTCCAGTAGGTCCCAGACCTTCCTCATTTTAGCTTTACTCCCTTCCCCTCTGCACATTCCCGAAACTTCTCGCCCAGTGATGTCCACGCTTGTTAAATCTTATGAACCCTTTTAAGTTCTTACTTGACTTCTCTGAAGCATTTGACCCTGTGGAGATGACATTAGACTTACCTGGTTTTCTTCTTCCCACTCTGTTGACTCTCCCTTTTCTTGGCTGACTTTTCTTCCATCCTCTCCTTAAATGTTGCTTCTCTCTCTCTCCCTCCCGCCCCCCAGTGCCATCGCTGGCGCTTTATGTTATGTACTATGACTTCAGCCCTACTGAGGACTTCCAGATCTATGTTATTCATTCAACCATGCAGTAAATATTTATTGAGTGCCGAATATGTGCTCTGTCTTAAGGATATTAAGAAGATAGGCATATTCCTTACCTTCTACTGGGAAGATAAATACTGAGCAAACAATGACTAGTGTGGTGAATATTATAAAGAAGAGTAGAGTGCCATTGGTTCCAGTTTACGGGCATCAGAAAAACCTACCTAACGCTGGACACATCTACTACTGAGATCTGAACTCCAGATCTCTCCTCTGAGCTGCAGACTCATGTAGAAGTCCCTTCTGGAACTCTTCTGGGGCACCTTAAAATCCACATGTCTGCAGTGTAATTTTGGCCCTGGCTGGGTGATTCAGTTAGTTGGAGCGTCATCCTCTATATACCAAGCATGTCAAACTCAACGGCTAACAAGGTTTAAGTTTATGTGGGCCGCAAAAAAAACAAAAGCTTCAATTTTCATAGAAACATAGGTTTATTTTGATACTGAATACAAAGGGCTGAAATAAGTGTTAACAAAAATAATAGAACATTTTAATAAAAATCTTTTTTTTGAATATTAACTTACCAGACACTGAATAACTGTATAAATTAATAATTATAACACAAATAAACCTATTTCTTGTTCTCCAAAAGTGAAATATTTCCTGTTGCGCACACCAAACAAGTCAGTCCAAGACTGATGACATGGCAAATGGTTGCTAAAAATATTTACTGCTAGTATTCGTGGAGAGGAATGGTGCACCTGCACGTAAGGCATGTAAGGGAAATGAATGCAACGATTATAGTAATCAGTCATTAGTTTGTTATTAATAATCTATGTGTATAAAAGGCTAATAGGCAAAGTGTCCCTGCAGGAGTTCCACTGAGAGCCTGGGAGTGCTATCGCTCGCTATGACGTGCGCTGACCACCAGGAGGCAGAGTGAAGGAAGGCCCCTGCTGGCAGCTGGAAGGCCCCTATTGGCCTTGATCACCTACCGCCTAGGGACCCTACCCATGCATGAATTTCATGCACCAGGCCTCTAGTTATGTATAACAGGATATTGTAAATATTAAGTTATGAAATTTTTATTAAAACGTTTCTTACATACTGATATATTTATTGGCTGGGCTGCAAAAATATTCATTGTGGGCCCCATGCGGCCCGGGGACCACGAGTTGGACATGCTTGCTCTACACCAAAGGGTTGCTGGTTTGATTCCTTATCAGGACACATAGCTAGGTTTTGGTTTTGATCCCTGGTCCGGGCGTGTATGGGAGGCAACTGATTGATGTTTCTTTCTCTCTCTCTCACTGCCCTTCATCTCTTTCTAAAATCAATAAAAACATATCCTTGGGTAAAGATTAAAAAAAAAAAATAGCCCTAGCCTGTTTGGCTCAGTGAATTGAGTGTCGGCCTGCATACTGAAGGGTCCCTGGTTTGATTTTGGTCAAGGGCACATGCCCAGGTTGCGGGCTCCATCCCCAGTAGGGGGCGTGCAGGAGGCAGCTGATCAGTAATTCTTATCATTGATGTTTCTCTCTCCCTCTCTGAAGTCAATAAAAATATGTTTTAAAATAGCCCTAGCCTGTTTGGCTCAGTGAATTGAGTGTCGGCCTGCATACTGAAGGGTCCCTGGTTTGATTTTGGTCAAGGGCACATGCCCAGGTTGCGGGCTCCATCCCCAGTAGGGGTCATGCAGGAGGCAGCTGATCAGTAATTCTTATCATTGATGTTTCTCTCTCCCTGTCTGAAGTCAATAAAAATATGTTTTAAAAATTCAAAAATAAAATAATTTTGTATCCACATGTCTTCTCTGTCCTCCAGTGTTTACTGTCTCAATTGTGCCACACCACTCAGAGAACTAAGCCAGACTCCTTGAAGTTATCCCAATACTCTTTCCTTATTTTTCCCACTATTACATCCAAATTCAGTTCAACCTGTTTTTATAGTATTTTTTGAATATTCTGTTTCCAAAGCCATTCTCTGGGTTGAGGATCTCAATCTTTCTGGTGTAGATACCATAGCTATTTTCTTACATAGTCTCCCTGAATCTCTAGTGTTGCATTTTTGCTCCCCAATGAATTCCCCTCACCTGCAGCCAGTCCCATAAATCCAGCATTACAAATCTGATCATTATTAGTCTTCTGTTTAAAATCCCTCAATGATTCCCCATTTAAGTGCTTCTAGTTCTTCATGGCTCCAGTGGCTTCTGCTCTAGGTGAGCTGAGCTTAACTGTGTTTCTCTGTATTTGCCCATCTTTCCAGATTCAGGGTGGTAGTTTGCCGAGACCTCAGTTCTCTGATCAGTCTAAGAAAAGTTACTGGTTTTCAGTTTGTTTTCTCCTGTGTATAAGGGAATGATACTTCCATGCTTTTTAGACATTAGAACTGAAATGGAAGTCTGATTAAGAAGATGTTAATCATAAATATCTTTGTATTAAATTATTTGGAAAGTCAAAGTGATTTTGTGCTTTCTTTTGTCTTATTGCTTTAGTCTTTTTCTATTTTTTGGCATTGTAATATATTTTAAGCAATTTGATTTTTCAGTAGGCGCCAGGAAGAAGGTGCATTTTAGTAGCATACATGATGCAGTACGCGCTGGAGATGTAAAGCAGCTTTCAGAAATAGTAGAACGTGGAGTCAGCATTAATGAAGTTGATATTCTCCATAAATTTACCCCTTTACATTGGGCAGCGCATTCGGGAAGTTTGGAGGTAAGCTAAATAAAACTGGGATAAGTTTACAACTGTTAGCACTTTTATAAATTTAGCAAACAGGACTGAGGCATTGCAAGTAATTTCTTTTTTAATTCAGTCTATCATTAGGTGTTTTGTTTACTTACAATGGCTTTATAACAAATTATCCCAAAACTTGGTGGCATAAAATAACCATTTATTTATGCTCAGGACTGAGCGAGGAGTTTGGTTCTCAGACACAGCTTGTCTCTGCTCCATGATGTCTGGGGCTTCAGCTACAGATTGGAAAGCTGGGGTTGGGTCCTGAAGGCTTGTTCACACAGCTGTCTGGTATATGCTGGCTCTGGGCACCTTAGTTTTTCTTTGTGGGCCTATTTGTGAAGATTCTCCACCTTGCTAGTTTGTACCTCCTCACAGTGTGGTAGCTGGGTTCCAAAGGAAAGCATAAAGGGTAACTTAAAGAGGATAACAGAATGAATACCTCGTTCTCTTAAATCTTAATGTTTTTTGCTATAGTTGCTTCAGATTTTTAGAAAACAAATGGAATATTATAGGTACATTTGAAATCCCTGAGCACCCCTCCAGGCACTATTTCTCTCCTTCCAAATCCAGAGACAACTATTACCCTGAATTTGGTGTTTATTATTCCTATCTATATTTTATGCTGTTATTGCATATGATTATATCATTGCTCTAAATGACATATTTTATCTACATGATATAACTAACATTCTGCAGCTTGATACATGTGATTAGATATATGTATGCTAGTTTATTTCTTTCAGCCATATTGTAATAGTCTATTCTTAGACTAATATCAGAATTTATTCATTTTTCAACTGATGGATATTTAGTTGGTTTCAATTTTTAGCTAGTACAAGCATTCTTAGTGAATTTTTAAATGCAAAACTTCTTATTCTTGGACTAGGTACAAAGCTAACTAAAATTTTTCTCATGATTCAAGGTTGTGTATGGAGAGCTTATTTTAGCTACTACATTTCCCCAGCTTGTGGGCTGCAGTGGGTCTATTCACTATGCAGACATTCCCCCCTGCTACACAGGCAGAGACTGCTTTCTATGAAAATGGCTTCTCTGTGTGATTTCTTGTTTGTTTGGGCTTCTCTGCTTCTTGGAACCAAATCTGGTTTGGAGAATCTCTCTCCACCAGTTTGTGTGCCTCACTTGAATTGTTGTAAATAAGGATTTCCCTTTGGCCTTTTAGTGACTTCCTCTCAGCTGGCAGAAATGTGCCTTGATGGCTCTTTCTGCATATACAGCCCTGGGTGGGGATTTTCTCTGCTGTTTCCTCCTACATCCCTCTTTGATCTATAATTTGGCAGCTTTCCCATCTGTTTTTGTGGTTTGAGTTTCAGATGTCTTCTACTTTCATCAAAGATGGGGTTTTCTCCCTGTTTTTCTCTCTTTCTTTTTTTGGATGATTTTGAAGAGATGAAATACTGATTTTACTCTGCCATATTCCAATAGAATAGGGCTTCTCGATATACCTTTAATTTAATCTATTTCCTGGTATCCTTTCAGCTTCTCTGATTACTCTCACTTAGGCTTCTTTGGTTAACCTACCCTGCCTAAAATATAAAGATAGGTATTTCTATGATTTTGCCTTCTCTCTCCAGGCAGTTTCTTAGACTTCATTGGCTTTATCATCTATATTCATAAAAGCCTAAGCGACTGAACGACCCGTTGACTGGTCACTATGATGTGCACTGACCACCAGGGGGCAGACGCTCAATGCAAGAGCTGTCCCCCAGGTGGTCAGTGTGCTCCCACAGCAGGAGCACCGCCCAGCAGCGTGAGCCTCTCCTGCTTTCGTGGCAGCGCTACCAAGTGGCGGCAGCCGCAGGCACAGTGGGGTCGGGATGAGCAGGAGCAGTGGCGCCCAGCCTGGGCTCAGGCTCCTCCCTGGCACCTGCCGCTGAGCACACTACTACATCCCCGAGGGGTACCGGATTGCGAGAGGGCACAGGCCAGGCTGAGGGACCCCACTGGTGTACGAATCCGTGCACCAGGCCTCCAGTGTCTACATAAAATGCATGGTTTTGCTTCCTCTCCTTAATCCTGGTTTATATATCGTGCCTGATCAACAGCTCATGCATATCTGACTAGCATTTCAAATTCAGTTGCTATAAAACTAAGCTGTTATTCTTTTCTATCCCTTTCTTAATTTTTTTCTCAATTTCTTTTTCACCACCTAAAGTATTTGTTTAATAACAACCTCAGGAAAAAACCCCACAGAACTATTATAAAACAATATTGTCAGTTGGTGCTCATTGTAATATACAATACAAAGAAATTAATTTCCTCAGAAATCTGAGAAGCACCAAATGTGACCTATTTTGAAAAGTCTGCTTGAGTTGTGTCAATTTTTTACAGAAGCAGTACACATCGACATTTGTGTAGTTGAAGGTGCCCTACATGGTGCACATTGATGCAGTAGGAACTGATCACTAGGTCCTTTGATTCTATTCCATCTTTGTCTTTTGAATTTGTACTCTTCATCCTGATAGCTACTGCCTTAGATCTAATAGATTTTCTTGATTTTTGTCTTGTCTATCTCTAGTTCATATTCTGTATACAAAGTTACCACTCTAAAACTAAAATCTGATATTACTTAACTCCTATCTATAGGATAAAGTTCAGACTAATTAATACAGTAGACATATCTCCAATCTCATCTCCCAACATATTTGGACATTTTGAAACTAGACATTTTAGATTATATATTGTGGCAACTCTGGAGTCTGATCCTACCCCTTCACCCCTACCCAGGCATGGTTGTTCCTGTGTGTTTATTTACTTGCCTAGACTAATTTTGTGGAGTCTGTTTTCCTAACAGTGTATGGCCACTGCTCAGTTGTTCCCTCTTTTAATTCTTGTTTTTATTTTTAAGCCTGGCTCCCTAGGGTTCACCCCTGGGCCTCCATATTTTAGTGGTCAGCCAGTGACTTATGAGAGCATGTGCTTAAATACCGTAAGGATTTAATCTTTTACTGATGGGTCTGTGTGGAGAATGTTTTCAAAATTCAAGCAGCTTACAAGCCAGCCTAACATCTTTTTAAAAAAAATATGTTTGCAAGGCCTCATATTTAGCCAGGGATATCTTGTCAACTTAGTCCCTCTTCAGTCTTTTCTGGGTCTGAGCAGCCTTGTACATGCACACAGCCTTTTAGATCACAAGGGATAAATGGAATCTTAGTAAGGACCACTTTGGCCATCTCATTTTTTGGAATTTCCTATTAATTTTCTGGGTAGTCTTTAGTTTTGTGCATGCCCCAACCAGTATCATGACTTTAGGCTAGCTCTGATGTTGGCTTTCTTGGATTGTTCTGAGGAGCAGAATTGTTTTTGACAATGTGTCTGGGCATGGAATTTTATGTGTTCAGCTCCTAATAAAGTCAACCCCTCCAGCAGAGCAGTGGAGCTGTCCAGCAGGGATAGGTGAAGCTGTAGTTTCAGTCTCCTGTTCTTACTGAGATTCAGTAGATTTTCTCATATATATGCTTCTCATTTTATTATATGCCTTTGGTCAGTTTCCAGTCTTTAAATTGTTGTTTTTGACAACTTTGTCTAGTTTTATCATTGCTTCTCAGGGAGGATTTGCCAAGCTCCTTATTTACCCATTTCTGAATTCCTGCTTATTTGTCCTTTGATTTTTGATAAGGGTGAACATGTAATCTAATGGAGAGCAGATATTAATTTCATTAAATGGTGCTGGCATAATTGAACATTCATATGTAAAAAAGAACAAATACTGACTCATACCTGGCAACATATAGAAAAATGTACTCAAAGCAGATTATAGGCAAATTTGAAACTTAATCTTATAAAACTTCTAGAAGAAAGCATAGGAAAAAATCTCTGCAAATCATGTATCTGAACTTGAAACCAGAATAAGAGACTCACAACTCTAGTAAGAAAAGAAAAAAAAAACAACAATTAAAAAACGGCAAATAACTTCAATAGACACTTACTCAAAGATAATATAGATGGCAGTTGAATACATGAAAAGATATTCATCATCATTAGACATTAAGGAAATACAAGTTAAAACCACAAAAAATGCCACTACACACATATTAGAATGTCAAAAAAACAAACAAAAAAAACCAACCCCCCACAGATAATTCAAGAAATGACAATATAAAGTATTGGCAAAGATATGTAATAAATGGAACTCTTATACATTGCTGGCAGAGGTATAAAATGATGCAGCCACTTTGGAAAACAGTTTGGCAGTTTCTTATAAAGTTGAATATACTTATCTGTGTTCTAGCAATCTCACTTCCACATACTAGTATTTACCTAGAACAATTAAAAAAACCTATGCATGAATGTTTATAATGGTTTTATTCCAGTATCTAAACAGTGTTAGTACATAGTAGTGTACACACAAATATTTATTGAATAAATGAATTATTTACAGTGATTATTAGTGAAGTTGAACTTTTAAAAAAATATATTACTGGCCACTAATCTCTGTGACAGGCAAATGATACCTATTGGTAAGCTTTCAACAAATGATAGGGCTGTGATTCCAATGATAGTCAATTTTTTTAAAAAGAAACTTCTTGAAGGTAGAGTCTACAAACTTGAACATATAATGACAGTAATACATCTTAAATGAAGATGCATTTGATTCCTACCACCCCCCTTTTTATATAAACCTCTTTTTAGAGAATATCATCAGAATAACAAAGTTTGCCTTGATACAGAAGTTTCTCGACCCATTCAAAATCTATGGAAAAAACACAACAAAACAAAAAATAAAATCTATGGCAGAGGTTGCAAACTAGTAGCCCTTAAGTGAATTTGGCTCACACATATGTTTTTTGTTTGGCTTGTACAGTATTGGCAAACATAAGATTTGGATCAGCACTTTAGTCACAGCAACAACTGGCTGGAATTGAGTGTCATCTGCACCTTATTGACAAGGAATGGCATCTCCAGTTTGTCACAGTCCCTACTGCTATTGTTTACCCAACAGTAAGGCCTGATGTTGGTGTCCTGTCATTGTGCTTGTGCTTACACCTGGCTCCCTCATTCACTTAATGATGTTTCTCAGGCTACAGTATTTCTGGATGACAGACTAAATTTAAAAGATATAAAAATGTTTAAAACATCTATCTTATCACTTATTAACATGGTTATTTTCTTAACTTAGTGCCTTCATTGGCTCCTCTGGCATGGAGCTGATATTACACAAGCAACTATGAGAGGCTGGACAGCAGCTCACATAGCTGCAATCAGGGGTCAGGATGCTTGTATGCAGGTAATAATTTTGTTTACTTTTTAAAAATTCAATAAGTTTACTTTAGCATAGTTTGTTAAGCTGTTGCTTTTATTCTAATAATTTGATCCTATAGATTTACTTCTAAATAAGAACTTATTGGATTCCATGTCTTAGATATTTTGGTATCAACTATCTACTTAAGCAAATGATATATGAGAAGAGGCCCTTTTATCTTCAAAGTAGTTGATTATCTGTCTAGATTGTTTTAAGGGATGTCACATTCATGCACAGATTATCTCCTTTATAGCTTTCCATGCCTAAAATTCCTTATTTAATGTGTTTCCTAGCTAGAATAGCACATTAATATGTGACAGCTACTCTAATTTACTAGAGTAGCTGGATTTAATCAGTGTACAATAGACTGGAATTTGGAGAAATACAAAATCATATAAGCAAACACTCCTTGCCTATAAGAAACCTGAGATTCTGTTTGGAATGACAGGAGCTCTGCTCAGTACATTACAAAGCAATACAAAGCACATTTTATGATTAAGGTTTTAATAAAAAGTACAGATGAGAAGAATTATAGAACTTAGCTGGAGTTAGAGAAAGTATAACTGGAGGAAATACAATTTCAGCTAAGCCTAAAGGAATGGGTTGATTTTAAAGAGGTAAGTAGTAAAGAAGCATTATTGGTAGGGAATATGTCAGGAGCAATTAAAAATGATGATGATCATTTATTGAACATTTTTAATGTGTCAAATCAGTCTCCCATGCATCACCTCATTTAATACAATACTCTTATGAGTTCCACTTTTTATAGATTAGGAAACAGATTCAGAAAGTAAAGTACCTTGCTAAATAAGTGACAAAGCATGGATTTGAACCTATACTTTGTCCTCTTAATCTCTATGCTGTAATTCTATGTGAAGTCCCTGAATTGGAAAAATGAGATGTGTTCAGGGGATATACTATAACATAAGTTTGACTGAGTGTAGATGGTTTGTTCTGTGGACTGTAACGAAGTTTGGATAAGCTAGTTTGTAAAATGGGAAGTAGAATAGAGATTTAACTTTCACTTATATAGGAAAGAGGTTTTATGCACATACTACATATATATGTATACATTCACATATATATACACACATATGTACAAATGCACATGGAATGATGTAATGAAAGCACTATTTCAGGAAATTATTCTTTTAAAAAATATATATTTTATTGATTTTTTACAGAGAGGAAGGGAGAGGGATAGAGAGTTAGAAACATCGATGAGAGAGAAATATCAATCAGCTGCCTCCTGCACACCTCCCCACTGAGGATGTACCCCCAACCAAGGTACATGCCCTTGACTGGAATCGAACCTGGGACCCTTCAGTCTGCACGCCAATGCTCTATCCACTGAGCCAAACCGGACAGGGCAGGAAATTATTCTTGTGAAATGTATTCAGGATTACCTAGGATGAAGAGAGAGTTTGGAGGCAAGAAGACAAAGATTTTTGGTGTACTCATTAACTATCGAGGGTGAAATTAGGTGGTGGCAGTGGGAAAGAAAATGATTCAAGACATCTTCCAAAGCAGTCATTGACAGAGTATAGTGAGAAGTTAAAGTTTTGAGTCAGAATTATAGCTAATTATGAAACTATAGATAGGGATATCTGGAAGGTTGGGAGATTTGAGAGGAAAGAGGTTGAGTTTAATTTGGCACATTTCAAGTTTAAGGTGCCTGTAGGACATTCAGGTGCAGAAGGTTTAGGCAATTTAAAGGAGGCTGGAGACAAAGATTTGAGGAGTAATGAAATATAGAGAAGAAAATAGAGTATTCTCAAGAGTTGAAGAATGTTACTAGTAGGCATGGGAGGAAGCAGAGAAAAGAGTAAGGAATTTGGAGGAGGAAGTCTGAGGGGTAGAGCCAGGATCCATTAGGGCTGTGCAAGTGAGGGAAGAAGTTTAAGAATTAGGCAGAGTATCAGTTACAGGATAAAACTAAGGGGAATAAAGCTTAAGTAATGCCACTGAACTTAAGAGCTCACTGTAGAGTGAGGCTGGCTGTATTTCTGCAATGGTGGGGGTGACACTCATTTTGCAGGTGGATTTGGAGTTGAGATATTAATTTGAGAAGTAGGAAGTGAAAATGGTAACTTTAGGAGTCATCAGGTTCCATTTAAGCTTTACTTGATACTTTCCTTCTGAGCAATAGACATTCCCTCTGCCTTGACTGTCCTTCTCTTCCTCAAGGTGACCTCTCCCTTCTCAGGGCAGGTGTGATGCCTTTTTTGTACTATACTGTTTAGTGCTTGCTTATCAAGGACAGCTTTGTATAGTTGATTATCTTTGTCTCTCCACAGCCCTAATTCCCTATGTTAATAAGTCTTTATATTCTTTGTGGTGACTTTTAAAACATAGTAAGCACTCAATATATGGTTTGTGATGATTATTAACTAGTTTGTTAATGTGAATCAGATAAGATCATGATGGTTATTCTACCTAAAACTCTTTTTAAAAAAAATACATTTTTATTGATTTCAGAGAGGAAGGGAGAGGAAGAGATAGAAACATCAATGATGAGAGATAATCATTGGTGGGCTGCTTCCTACATGCCTCCTACTGGGGATTGAGTCCAAAACCCAGGCATATGCCCTTGACTGGAATTGAACCCGGGACCCGTCAGTCCGCAGCCCTGATGCTCTATCCACTGAGCCAAACCAGCTAGGACACTAATAATTTTTTAAAGCAATTACTCTGTACATTATATAGGGAGATGTACTTGTATCTGATGTAACCCATATACAGAAACTGGGCCAATTGTAAATTCAGATAGAATCTTCTCAGATGTAGTTAGAACTTTGATTTGGAGCTTAGAACTAGTTACTTTAATAATGAAATCCTTTTATTCTATCCAAAACCAAGTTAATAAAAGATTCTGTTTTGAAAAAGTGGAAGTTTAAATTTCAGTTTTACTAGCTTAACATTGAAGTATTTAACTTAGTGGTTATGAATCAGTGCTCATGAAAAGTGTGCTTTATAAATTGTATGTCCATGCTCAAATCAGATTGTGAAATCAGGTATTATAAATATCTCCTGGGCAGTGTTAAAAAGGATCCCAAACATTTTCTTTGGATTAGCTAAGAACTTCTCACACTTTGCCTGTGGCACATATGTAAGAACATAGCAATTACCTAGGCCCGTGGTCGGCAAACTGCGGCTCGCGAGCCACATGCGGCTCTTTGGCCCCTTGAGTGTGGCTCTTCCACAAAATACCACGTGTGGGCACGTGTACAGTGCGATTGAAACTTTGTGGCCCATGTGCAGAAGTCGGTTTTCGGCCTGGGCGAGTCTATTTTGAAGAAGTACTGTTGACATGCCCTAACCGGTTTGGCTCAGTGGAAGAAGTACTGTTGATATTTGGCTCTGTTGACTAATGAGTTTGCCAACCACTGACTAGGTTAATAAATTGTTTGCCTTTAAATAATCTGCAATAATCTACATTTATGATTTAACATAAACTCATTCTTATTTCTCTATTTTTAGGCTCTTATAATCAATGGAGCAAATTTGGCAACTAAAGATGATCGTGGTTGCACTCCTTTACATCTTGCTGCGACACATGGACATTCTTTCACTTTACAAATAATGCTCCGGAGTGGAGTGGTGAGGGATTCCTGCTAGTATGTGAGAATGTATAACCATATAAGTGAAATAGCATTTGGTAGCCCAGTTATCTCTTCCTGACTTTTAAAATAACCTTTATGACTTTAGGGAAGTAATTTGATCTCTCTCTTTAGCTTTTCCATCTTTAAGCATAGGAGTAATAATTTAGATAAATCTTCAAAAAACCCCCAAACACCCATTTAGTAGTGTAAACTATTTCAGAGGCTATGGGGTTCTTCATATCAGCTCAGAGTTTAACTGGGAAGATTCTGAAGCTTCTAAACATATGTTAACCAATGATTGTAAATCTTTCTGAATTTCTGTGTATAACTCTTATTTCATACTAGTGGCCTGGTGCACGGATTTGTTCACATTGAAAGGAAGTTAATTAGAACACATATTTTAATATTGCTATTTGCCCTTTCTCTATAATAGAAGTGTCAGAGATGAAAGAAAATTAGTAAAATGTATATGAAAATACATTAATAAGTACATTAATAAATTGATTAATAACAATAACATGATATAAAAACAACAAAGACATGATATAAAAACAATATTGATACAAACAATGACTGATAAATTGATTAAACTTATTCTAGTATCTCCCTATATACCACATTAAGAGTAAAAACACTTTCAGAGTGCTTGACTAATTTTCCTTGTGATGAAGTATTTACAACTCTAATGTCACATACTCTTCGAACTCGAGAGAAAGCAACATATAACTGACCATGTCTGAAAACGGGTTCAGGTAGGAATATTCCTACTCTGTCTAGAGTTTGTCCTTGTGATTTATTAATGGTCATCACAAATGCTGGCATTATGGGAAACTGTCTTCAAATTAATTTAAATGGGAGGCCAATGTCAGACGGGGACAAATATTGCGCATGCGCGAGTCAATATTTATTTTTAAATTGCCAGTGTGTGTCATATGTCCCAGCCGGTCAGTTGGCCGGTTGGACGAACGGACGGTCAGTCACTTAGCCTTTTTATTATTATAATCTATATATATAAAAGGCTAATATGCTAAGTGTCCGTCTGGGTAACAACGTCACATAGCAACACTCGGCTTCCTCTCCCTAGCGACTGGCCTCCTTCAATTTCTTCAGACCAGGAATATGACTTGCTTTATAGCAGGTGGAAACATTTTACACTTCAACCAAATGTCTGTGAAGCATTTTCCCATGCCTTATCTCATTTGATCTTCACAGAAGTCCTGGAGTAGGTAGATAGCAGACTCAGTGGAATCCTATTTTTTGTTCTTTATTGATTAAGGTATTACATATGTGTCCTTATCTCCCATTAACTCCCCACCTCCCATTCATGCCCTATTTTCTTTTCCTTAGCCAGAAAATGGAGATTTAGAAAGCTTAGAAACTTGACCCGACTGAAAAAAAGTAAGAAATGGTGGAACTTTGAAAATGACTTCAGGTTTTCTCACTGTGTAGAATATAGTTAAACACTGCTGCAGTTAAATATTTTACCCTTTGTTCTCCCTGCATGATCTACAATAATAATCTGCTTCATGTTGATATTTATTGCTGTGTTGCTGACAATTACCTGAAAGAGAAGTTGGGGTGCTTCACTGGGCTGGATATATATATATGGCTAAGTTGACTTGCGCATGTGCACTACATATAAAGCTCTCTCTGGTGCCAATCGCACGCGTGTGTTTTGATCTGTCATTGTCAGTTGTGAATTTGGTTGATAGTTCTATTATAGAGAAAGGGCGAATAGTGATATTAAAATATTCTAATTAATTTCCTTTCAATGTACACGAATTTGTGCACTGGGCCACTAGTGATTTATATCTCCAGAAATTTCATTTATTACATTTGTTTTTAATATTACGCAATGGTTGTAAAAAATAACTTCTGATAAGAAAATAACTACCTATATTGTAGTCATTATTGTAAGAATTGGTGTTTCTATAGAGAAAATGTAAAAAATCTTAGTATTTTTTCATTAACTCTTTTTTGTTTGTTGTTTGCTTTTGTTAATCCTCATCCGAGGATATATTTTTTTCCTATTGATTTTTAGAGAGAATGGAAGGGTGGAGGAGAGACAGAGAGAGAAACATTAATATGAGAGAGACACATTGATTGGTTGCCTGACTATTTTATAAAATTTCATTAGTATGTTATTAGCTTGTGTGTTCAAATCAGTGGTTTCAGAACATTTTTCTTTTATATTTAGTGTTTGCCTTATAGTTTTAAGAACAATATCCAGTTCTTAATTGCTGAGTTAAACTGCTACACTAGTGTTTCCCCTACAAAATGGAAAGAAACTTAGTCCTTGTGAATGTTACCTCTAGGATCCCAGCATAACTGATGCGAGAGAATGGAAACCTGTACATTATGCATCTTTTCATGGACGACTTGGCTGTTTGCAACTTCTAGTTAAATGGGGATGTGGCATAGAAGATGTGGACTACAATGGAAACCTCCCAGGTATCCACAAAAGCAAATATTTTGGATTTTCATTAATGTAAGCTTTTAAAATATTGATCATGTTTTAAGAAATTTAAACTGTCATCATGCTAATAGTCCCTCACAAAATATAAGTAGTAAGTATGTTAACATGAACATTTTTTAAAATCTTATATTACTCCTATATTGTGTGCCTATCATGTGACCATTTTCTTTTTCTGGAACGATATCAGCAAAACAGAAATTGGCAAAATTAAACTTGGATTTTCTCTTCTAGCTAGTTGTTTCCTTCGTCTACTGTCTAGAGTTATTATTTTTTTAGCTTTATACATTTCTGTCCCACAGACTACTTTATTTTTTTTATGTGTTTATTGATTTTTAGAGAGAGGAAGGGAGAGAGAGAAACATCGATTTGTTGTTCCACTTATTTATGCAGTCATTGGTTGCTTCTTTATGTACCCTGACCTGAGGTTGAACCCACAACTTTGGCATATTGGGACGATGCTCTAACCAACTGAGCTACCCGGCCAGGGTCCCCACAGACTGCTTTTTAAATAGTATAAATAGTGGACACTAGTGTATATGAGTTAATTTGCTAACTGCACTTGTCCTCCCTGCAATCAACTGGCCAGTTGAGATCTATACTCTAAACACTGTCTTCTAAGAGCTGCTACAGAAATTCATAAAAGGGGTAGGTTACAGTGAGATTGGAATGAGGGTTACTAAAATGATACTTGAATTATGTCTTAAAGGAATTTTTAGCAAACAAATGAATTGGAAGTCTATGCAGAATTATATGAACAGGTTTGATTCAATCTCTTTGCTTCTTAAAATACCCTAGTTCCCTGTGGAGCTCTGATTCCTTACCTGGGCATGCTGGGTCTTCATTATTTGGCTCTTACCTATCTACCTCCCTGGCCTCACCTCCACTCCTTTAATCTGCTATCTGTAATATTTTGCTTCTTTCTTTAAAAAAAAAAAAGTTTTTATTGATTTCAGAGAGAGAAAGGAGTTTTGATCTGTCATTGTCAGTTGTGAATTTGGTTGATAGTTCTATTATAGAGAAAGGGCGAATAGTGATATTAAAATATTCTAATTAATTTCCTTTCAATGTACACGAATTTGTGCACTGGGCCACTAGTGATTTATATCTCCAGAAATTTCATTTATTACATTTGTTTTTAATATTACGCAATGGTTGTAAAAAATAACTTCTGATAAGAAAATAACTACCTATATTGTAGTCATTATTGTAAGAATTGGTGTTTCTATAGAGAAAATGTAAAAAATCTTAGTATTTTTTCATTAACTCTTTTTTGTTTGTTGTTTGCTTTTGTTAATCCTCATCCGAGGATATATTTTTTTCCTATTGATTTTTAGAGAGAATGGAAGGGTGGAGGAGAGACAGAGAGAGAAACATTAATATGAGAGAGACACATTGATTGGTTGCCTGACTATTTTATAAAATTTCATTAGTATGTTATTAGCTTGTGTGTTCAAATCAGTGGTTTCAGAACATTTTTCTTTTATATTTAGTGTTTGCCTTATAGTTTTAAGAACAATATCCAGTTCTTAATTGCTGAGTTAAACTGCTACACTAGTGTTTCCCCTACAAAATGGAAAGAAACTTAGTCCTTGTGAATGTTACCTCTAGGATCCCAGCATAACTGATGCGAGAGAATGGAAACCTGTACATTATGCATCTTTTCATGGACGACTTGGCTGTTTGCAACTTCTAGTTAAATGGGGATGTGGCATAGAAGATGTGGACTACAATGGAAACCTCCCAGGTATCCACAAAAGCAAATATTTTGGATTTTCATTAATGTAAGCTTTTAAAATATTGATCATGTTTTAAGAAATTTAAACTGTCATCATGCTAATAGTCCCTCACAAAATATAAGTAGTAAGTATGTTAACATGAACATTTTTTAAAATCTTATATTACTCCTATATTGTGTGCCTATCATGTGACCATTTTCTTTTTCTGGAACGATATCAGCAAAACAGAAATTGGCAAAATTAAACTTGGATTTTCTCTTCTAGCTAGTTGTTTCCTTCGTCTACTGTCTAGAGTTATTATTTTTTTAGCTTTATACATTTCTGTCCCACAGACTACTTTATTTTTTTTATGTGTTTATTGATTTTTAGAGAGAGGAAGGGAGAGAGAGAAACATCGATTTGTTGTTCCACTTATTTATGCAGTCATTGGTTGCTTCTTTATGTACCCTGACCTGAGGTTGAACCCACAACCTTGGCATATTGGGACGATGCTCTAACCAACTGAGCTACCCGGCCAGGGTCCCCACAGACTGCTTTTTAAATAGTATAAATAGTGGACACTAGTGTATATGAGTTAATTTGCTAACTGCACTTGTCCTCCCTGCAATCAACTGGCCAGTTGAGATCTATACTCTAAACACTGTCTTCTAAGAGCTGCTACAGAAATTCATAAAAGGGGTAGGTTACAGTGAGATTGGAATGAGGGTTACTAAAATGATACTTGAATTATGTCTTAAAGGAATTTTTAGCAAACAAATGAATTGGAAGTCTATGCAGAATTATATGAACAGGTTTGATTCAATCTCTTTGCTTCTTAAAATACCCTAGTTCCCTGTGGAGCTCTGATTCCTTACCTGGGCATGCTGGGTCTTCATTATTTGGCTCTTACCTATCTACCTCCCTGGCCTCACCTCCACTCCTTTAATCTGCTATCTGTAATATTTTGCTTCTTTCTTTAAAAAAAAAAAAGTTTTTATTGATTTCAGAGAGAGAAAGGAAAGGGAGAGAGAGGTAGAAACATCCATGATGAGATAGATTTATTGCTCGGTTGCCTCCTGCACACCTCCTACTAGTGATCAAGCCCACAACCTGGGCAGACCAGGTATTGAACCATGACCTCCTTGTTCATAGGTCGACACTCAACTACTGATCCACACTGATCGGGCTGAAGTACACCCTTTAATGTTCATTTAGTGAAGGTCTGTTGTATAAAAATTTCAGTTTTTGTGTATCTGTAAATTATTATTTTACTCTCATTCTTTTTTAAAATAATTTTTGAATAAAGTTTTAGAAATAAATTTGTGTATATGGTGTAACAAAGCATCCAGTTTCATTTTTTGCATGTATATGTCCAGTTTTCCCAACAACATTTATTGAAGAGATTGTCCTTTTCCCCTTGTATATTCTTGGCTTCTTTGTCATAGATTAATTGACCACATAAGTGTGGGTTTATTTGTCTGTTCTGTTCTGTTGATCTTTATGTCTTTTTTGTGCTAGTACTATACTGTTTTGATTTCTATGGCTTTGTAGTATAGTTTGATATCAAGGAGCGTGATACCTCCAACTTTGTTCTTCTTTCTCAAATTGCTTGAGTTATTCGAGGTCTTTTGTGGTTTCATATAAATTTTAGGATTATTTGTTGTAGATCTCTGAAAAATGTCACTGGTATTTTGATAGGGATTGCATTGAATTTATAGATTACTTTGGGTAATATAGATAATTTAATGATATTAATCTTTCCAATCCCCATCCTATGGTATTTATTTGTGTTGTCTTCAGTTTTCTTCATCAAAGTCTTACAGTTTTCAGAATATAGGTCTTTTACCTTCCTGATTAAATTTATTCCGAGGTATTTTATTCTATTTGATGCAATTGTAAATGGGATTGTTTTCTTAATTTCTCTTTCTGATAGTTTGTTATTAGTTGATTAAAGTCTTAAATATAAGACCTAATACCTAGTAGAAAACATAGGCAGTAAACTCTTTGACATTGATCTTAGAGATATTTTTTTGGATATGTCTCCTTCAGCAAGGACACCAAAAGCAAAAATAAGCAAATGGGAATACATGAAACTAAAAAGCTTTGCATAGCAAAGGAAACCATCAACAAAATAAAAAGACAGCCTACTGAATGGGAAAAGTTATTTACAAATGATATATTTGATAAGGTGTTAACCAAAATACATAACAAAATTCATATAACTCAACATCAAAAAGCCTAAAAAATCCAATTAAAAAATGGGCAGAGGACTGCAATAGACATTTCTGCAAAGAAGACTTACAGATGGCCAACAGACCTATGAAAAGATGCTCAACATCCCTAATCATCAGGGAAATAAAATATATCACACCTGTCAGAATGGCTATTATCGAAAAGTCAACCAATAACAAGTGTTGTTGTGGAGAAAAGCAAACCCTCATGTGTGGTTGGTGGAACTGTAAATTGGTGCACTACTATGTAAAACAGGAGGGAGGTTCATAAAAAAATTGAAAATGAAACTGCCTTATGACCCTGCAATTCCACTTCTGGTATTTACCATAGAAAATAAAAACACTGATTTGAAGATACATGCATCCATATGCTCATTGCAGTATTATTTACAATAGCCAAGATATGGAAGCAACCCAAGTGCCCATCAATAGACAAGTGGATAAAAAAGTGGTGGTACATATATACAATGGAATATTATTCAGCCATTAAAAAGAATGAAATATTGCTATTTGCAGCAATATGAATGTACCTAGAGGGTATGATGCTAATTGAGATAAGTCAGAGAAAGATAAATACCATATGATTTTACTTACATGTGGAGTCTAAAAACAAAACAAAACACCAAACAGAGAAATAAAACAAAACAGAAATAGACTAATAGATACAAAGACCAAACTGATTTTGCCAGAGGGGTGGGGCTGGGAAGATTGGTGAACAAGATGAAGGAGAGAATAAGAGGTACAAACTTCTCTAAAGACTCCATCAAAAAACTACTAAACTTAATAAATGAATTTAGCAATGTGGCAGGATACAAAATTAACACCCAGAAATCTGTGGCTTTTTTATACACTAATAATGAACCTACATAAAGAGAAACTAAAAAGACAATCCCATTTACCATTAACAAAAAATTAAGATACCTAGGAATAAACTTAACTAAGGAGGTAAAAGCCCTGTACTTGGAAAACTACAGGATATTGAAAAAAGAAATAGATGAAGGCATAAACAAATGGAAGAATAGGCCATGT